ATAAGAAGAAGGAAAACTCTAAGAGCTGTACTGAACATAGTGATTTGACTTCAGCAGGCATTCCTAATGTCTTTTTTCCCCTATAGGTCAGCATTTAGATGATTTAGGAGCCTTCACACTGGGAGAGGCCTACCACCAATTCCATAACATAAGCTCAGTGAAGCCAACACGCAGCTGAAGAAGGAAAGGGTAGCAATCACCAGATGAAGGGAAGTAAAAGAAGCCAGAGAGGATTCTGCCAGATTAATTTTTATATGGAATAAACTGCATCTCTTAGAATCATAGAATAGTTAGGGTTGGAAAGGACCTTAAGATCATCTAGTTCCAACCCCGTTGCCATAGGCAGGGACATCTCACACTAAACCACGCCACCCAAGGCTCTGTCCAACCTGGACTTGAACACTGCCAGGGACAGAGCATTCACAACCTCTCTGGGCAACCTATTCCAGTGCCTCACCACACTTACAGTAAAGAATTTCCTCCTTATATTCAATCTAAACTTCCCTTGTTTAAGTTTGAACCCGTTACCCCTTGTCCTATCACTACAGTCCCTAATGAAGAGTCCTTCTCCAGCATCCCTATAGGCCCCCCTTCAGATACTGGAAGGCTGCTATGAGGTCTCCACGCAGCCTTCTCTTCTCCAGGCTGAACAGCCCCAACTTCCTCAGCCTGTCTTCATACGGGAGGTGCTCCAGTCCCCTGATCATCCTCGTGGCCCTTCTCTGGACTTGTTCCAACAGTTCCATGTCCTTTTTACATTGAGGACACCAGAACTGCACACAATACTCCAGGTGAGGTCTCACAAGAGAGAGTAGAGGGGCAGGATCACCTCCTTCGACCTGCTTGATGCAGCCCAGGATACAGTTGGCTTTTTAAGCTGCAAGCACACACCCCCAAGCCCTTCTCCACAGGGCTGCTCTGAATCTCTTCTCTTGAATCCAGTGCCAAAAGAGAAAAACTTATCTCCCTACAGAGCCAACAAAGTTTCTTCTGGGTTGTTATCTTTCTTTTGTGTAGTTATACAGCTGACATATGAATTGGTAACACCACTGGAACACTCTCCTACTGAACAACACTGTCAACTGAACTGACAGCATAAAGGATTTCAGGGACTCTAAAAATAAATCACAGGTGTTCAATTTGTTCTGTAATGATCTTTACGTACTCATTTCCTGATAGCACCCCCAATGCAACGAAGTGGGCAACCCTCAACCTGTAAATTTTACAATAAAAATCTGCCTCCAATGAACGTAGTACTTAAAATGTACAGGCCAATCTTATTACATGCTAAATGCATTACTATTAAACTTAAAGTCATGATAATCAAAAGGAGGGAAAAAATGAAGAGAAATGCTTGAACAGACAAAATGTCTACCTTTTCATTACAGGAAAATGAAAAACAGACAGTTTGGAGAGTGCTTTTTGATGAGAATCTCAAGAAACAGACACTTCCTGGAATCTTCAAATAATCTCCTGAAGCTCAGCCCTTTACAAGATGAAATTGCCTTCCAAAGCAATCAAAATCTTATCTTCTTTATCATGCCATCCGAAATGCTGAGAATCATTCTAAGCATTGTTTTGCTACCTCCTACTTGAGTCCACAAAGCTGCAGTAATTCTGATTAAAAAGGGTTTTGTTTTCCTTCCATATCCTGGTGGTAATTTTAGACTTGTATTCAGGTTCCCAACTGACTTATTTTACCATTTAAAATGTAACATGGCCTTCTGAGAAGTTTCATCATGAAGTACAGCCTTTATGCATTCTGTATCTGCCAAAATACAGACAGATGTCTGAAAGCAGGTCTTCAGTTCTCCTCTATTCTAGTAGAAACTTTGATTTTAAATAAGGCAACTCTGTTCCTTCCCACTCCCCCATCTTACTCTCTGCCTCCCAAACTAACTCATCCCGCAGCTTCAGATGAATAGTGCAGGTCCCAGCTGGTGTTGAAGGCAAAATGAGATGCATGAGAATCGCTATCTGTTACTAAATGTAGGTAGTACCAATCAGAAGATCAATACAGCTGATGCTCCAATGACAGCTCTACAGTACTTCTAGATGTTTAGTACATGAAAGAAATGAGTCTGCACGAATCTTTCCTAAGTTCTTGCAAGCAGAAGCTGGTCCTTCTCCAGAGACACGTTACAATCTATCTGTTGGTCAGTGGGTAACAAAAGTAAATGCTAAAGACTCGTAACTACAGACACAAAGCTAACAACAAAACCTGATCTCAGTTATCCACAGATATTGAGAAGACTAAGTAAATCAGAAAAACACTGAAAATGCAAATAAAGCCATATATAAATCACAATGCAAGTGCACACTTAGCCCACTCACCTTCACAAAACTAGTAAAAACCTTTTCATAGAAAACAGAGGAGAGAAATTTCCAAGATGCTTACTACATATAAGGGATTGAAGCAATGCAGTGACAGAGTACTCAGGAAAGACATGACTTGGGCAGTCCAAAGTTGTTTATCATAACAAGTTAAGTCTATCTGCATCTATGGCTAATACACACATTTGGGGACAATAAATCCAACCAAATAAAAAAGACCATCAGTTCCCCTCACCCCCTTGCCCCCTCCAAAGCTCTTACCCTTGTCATAATCTAGTATTAATGATACTTGCTTTACAGATACACCCAGAAAATAACATGTATTTTCAAATGTTTAAAATAGTACACATTTTTTAAAATATCTCTTCCACCAGACAGCACAGAATGAAGAATTCTGTATTGCCAAACTAAACAGCTGTTGTAATATGTCAAGCCCATATCTGAGGCTATTAATTCATCCTATTTCAAAAGAGGGTTACAAACCAAGGCATTTTCCTTAAAATACCTGAAGTCCTTCCCTCCACTACCAGCTCCTACCTTTATTTAGTTTCCCAAATATAATATTGCTTGCTGCAGACTTAGTTGGACTAGAATTTTCCTATAACCATCATTTCTGTACTAGATCTGATGGTATCTTTGGTCAAGACCACCACATAAGTTCTCTACTTCTCTCCTCCAAACAGGATGTCTTTGAATCCTTCCACAGGCATTCCCATGCATTCTTCCTCTCCCTTTATTTCCTCCCTCCCAAATGAGAAAAATTCTACTAACATATTTAACAATACCTTCAACTTCTCACTGACAATTTACAGTGCAGAACAATTACAGACTGCTGATTCACCATGACAAGAGACATTTACTCTTGCTGCTGACAGTACAGATGTTTTCTAGCATCCATATCTGTGTCTGGTTAGTGGCACTGTGCACTGGTGCCCCTCTAGTTGCTGGTTCTCTGGTTGACGTTTCCCTCTTACAACAAGCAGTATCTAGTGTAAATAAAACAGTGAAATACCGAGAGCTAGCAGCTTTTTATTTTAAAAAAAACTTTCATTGTAAACCTCAAAAAATGTTCAGACAACATTAAACAATAATGTCTTAAGAGCCTGTCAGCAAAATAAGCAAGTAAATATTTTCTTAAGTAAGGAGAAAAGGTGCAACACTTGGAGGGAATAATTTATTACTATTCACAGATACAGCCAGTCATCCATTAACCAAGCCAATCAATCCTTCATTTTACAGCATTTATCCATATGCCTGTATATACTGCCATCTGTAAGGGAACTATTTAGATATTAGTAAATATTTTATAGACATTAAGATTGCCTTATTCTGAAAAAAGGGAAACTTTAATAGTGTAATAATAACACCATAGAAAGTAATTTGAAAGCTCTCCTAGTTCCTAATTTCAAACTCACTAATAAAAGAGTTATAAGAGTTACTTTTTTTCCTTCATAACAAACTATGTTCACTGCCCCAAGATTTGAGGACAAAAAAACATAGAAGGATTCTGCAAGGCCTGGAAATTTACATGATTGTAATGGTTAATGCTAGTTCTAGTGGATCTATTTAAGATATTAAAATTCCCATCTGTCAGACCTCTTTGCTAGATGTTACTGCCCTCTAAGCAAAAGAGAACATGTGCCTGCATCCAAGCCACCCAGTTCCTAGCATCTTTATTAACTCAAGCCATAAATTAAAATTATACTAACATACCTATCTAAACCATTGCAGCCAATATGCAGGTACAGGTTTGCTCTCACCAATAAGCCACAGACAAGCAGAGAGAAAGGCTAAACAGCTGCGCGCAGGTATCAGGAAAGGAGATGATGATCTTCAAACAACAGCAGCAGTTTGCTCCCACACTATTCAATAATGTTCGGTGCATGTGTTTAACTTCAAGGCAATTTTAACTTTAGGAAAACAGACACACTACAAAAACAATACCCAAGTGGCAGACAATAATGCTATTAGTACTACAGAATAGTCGTAATTATGGATATTTGCCATAATTTCCAGAATAGTAACTACCAAAGTTCAGTCCCCATGCTCTAACGGGTCAGCTTCATCCCATGTAAAGCAGCACAAACAACAGCTGAAGTCCTCGGTGTGCAAGGACATTTCATTTACCTGAGTTAATGTTTCTGTCAACACCAGCTCTATGAGGGATAAAGTAAGATCCAATTCAGAAGGGATGGGTTTAATCTCCCACATGGAAAATAGGCTTGCATCTTATCTATACAGCAAAATCTACCAACTAAAATGAAAGCATTCATCTTTCCAAAGGAGCAATTATCCTTCCAAAAAGTGGAGGGAGGGTAAACATTTTAAGTTCAACAAGACATTTCAACATACAGGAGACTGCTGAAATGCAATAAAACTGAGACACTGTGTATATATATATATGAACTACTACAGAAGTATGTTACATTTCCAGCTGGTCTTCCATCCAATCATTTAAGTTGCTTCTACAAAGTGAAAGCATTTACACATTTCCAATGGCCTGTAACACCATACGTAGAAAAAATAAACCCCTCTGGCATTGAATTAGAGGATACAGTGGTTCACAAGAAAGGATCACCAAGTTAACATTACTGCCCTCGTTCTTTGTACAATTTCTTTCCAAAACCGTATCCCAGCAGCCTGGCTGCTCACTGTGTAGCACTTACTGTTGCTGGACTTCAGGTCACGGTGAATTATGGGAACAATTGCTTCCTCATGCAGGTAGTTCATTCCCCTTGCAATCTGTACTGCCCAGTTCACTAGTATGTCAGGAGGTATCCTTTTACCAGATAACACTCTATTTAGTGATCCACCACGGGCAAACTCCATTATTAAACAAAGATTAGGTTCCTTCAAACACACACCCCTCAGGGCAATGATGTTGGGATGCTTTAACATTGCAAAGAGCTTGGCCTCTTGGCGGACATTCTCAATGGTCTGGCTGATGTCCTCATCAGGATCATAGCGAGCTGCCTTGACAGCAACCTCATCTCCTATCCATACAGCTCGATACACTTTTCCGAAGCCCCCTATGCCAATGATTTCCTCCAGAACAAGCTCTGAGAAGTCGATCTCCAGGACTAGGAAAAGAGGAAAAAAAAAAAAAAAAGTAAACATTTAGCAACTATGCAGTCTGAACCTTGGCTCAGCTGAAGGTCCCGGTTGCCCAGCCTCACCCTTGCGGGAAGGGCCAATTTTCACTCCAAAACAATACAAGTGAAAGCAGTAGTCCCTTCTGACAATCTTACATTGACAAACAATATGGTAAACAGATCTTGCAGTATTATAAAACCTGTATGAAGTACTCACTGTGAATGGTGATGAATTTGACCTAATGTTGGCAAATGACACAGTAAAATAGCCTCCTCTTACCACGCTTAATCCCTTCTAACACTAACAGCCCCTCAGTGACATTACAAGATTCCAGAAAAGTAAGAACACCCACTGACTTCACTATACAGTGCTTAATGCAACACAGCTAAAATTTAACACAAAAAGCATCTGCTCCTGCATTTGTCCCTTATTTGAATGCCTCTTATTCAGCTGCCACTAACAATCTTTCAGTCCTTCCGAAATCACGCTCATTCTTCTACACTTCTACAAGCATAGCAGATTCATTAACCAATTCTGGCATTACTGACACTAGTGTGACAAACAGATGGATCAGACCACATATTGCTAGCTCTGCATACTCAGGAAGAAAAACCTTGTTTTGATTAATGCCCACTACGTTTGCATTACAGAAACTATATGAAATAACAGAATCGTAATTTTCCATTCCCATGCACTCACAGCTATACTTTACAGGCTGTCACAGTAACTGATGGCTCTGTGGTGTTGTGTAGTAAAAATATACATATGCAGATGTCTTAATTCAGCATATAAATTTCATCTGGAGCACAAGTGGTAAGGAAATGAACCCTGCACAACTGTACACAGTTTATGCTCACAGATGGCCAAAAGAACCTATTCAATACTGACAAATACAGAATGGGAAATCCACATACTGACATTTACAGTAGTGGTAGGCCACTGGTGAGACACCATTGATGCTATTCGCTCTGACAAAAAAATACCATAATGCCAGGATTTAAGCAGAAATTCACCAAGACTTTTAATACTTTCCTGCATTTGAAATGCCAAATCTGACATCTGTTCCTCTACTTTGTCTAGCAGAAAGGAAATTAAGTCTGTAATGGACTTACTTGATGTAGGTATTAATACAGAGTACTGCATTATATTACTGGGTTTTCTAGTTATCGATTGTATACACAGAACTCTCGACTGTTTTCAAAAGAAATTACACAGTCATACAAGGCAAGGGAGCAGGTCAGATTCCACTTAAATAAAATATTTCCCTTACTCTAATTAAATGCCTATGTAAAAGTACAAGACACTGTCACAAAACTGTATGGAGTTGATACAAACAGCTGCAGACTTCTGGGGTTTTATGACTGAGTTCTATCTTCCCTGAACATGATTTGTAAAAGCCTGTCTTACTTTCATAGGTCAGTCAAACCTATGAGCTAGGAGTTGACTACATCTGGGGATTATATCATCAACCTTCCCATGCAGTACAGCCAATACACACACTACCTTAGCTAGTGTAATAAGGATGCCTGTGCTCTTTTTCCTAGTGTTCCATGAACACCAGATTAATGGGAAGCTAGACAGAATGCTGACCAGGAAAGTCTTCAAAAGGAGAAAGGGCCCTTTCCAGTCCAGAACACAAGAAGAATTTGTCTGTTCCTGTGAGTACATCTTTTGGGTAATGGTCTGAACTTCAAAGATTTACACAACAAAGAAGGTTGCACCCCTATAGCAGCAGCCTTGGTGTTCAAATGCTCATAAACTACAGATTACTAGAAAAGATGAAGCAGAAGATTCTGACTGGAAACACTGAAATTACAGAACAAGACCATAATGACACTAACTCCACAAATGAGACTACTCTGCCACTGAGAATACACAAAAGGAGCTGCTCTGGTATTTCTCACAGACAAAAGAGCTAAAGAAATCAGGTACTGAGTCCTACACCTTCAATCAGAATTTCAGCACCGGTCGAATGCTAACTCGCTCCTGGGGACGAGGACAATTAAAAGACAGCAAATGAACAAGCATGTGAGCCACGATGCCTGACGGAAAGGCCATTCCCTGAACTCCCGACACACAACACTCGGGTGGTATTCACACGCAGTGCTTTGATGTATGTCATGGATTCAGGAGGCACTGAAGACACGTAGAGCAAGCACTTCCCGCTGGCTCAGCGGGGCACCGGCGCGGCGGTGCTGAACGGACAGCTCCGGAGCAGAGCGCAGCGCGCGGCCCTGCCTGCACCGGGGCCCGCAAAGGAAAACCTAAGACCTAGCAAGCAAAACTCTTTCTGTCTGCTGTGACCCCTTTGTTCCACTTCAGCAAGTGTGGACAGCACACCTGCCGGGTGCACAAATTAACTAGAGCAAATCTGGAAGGTGAAACTGCTTCCAAATGAGTTTAACGTGTTACACTGCAAGTTTTGCAAAGAAAGTTTTCTTTTATCTGCAATTATGACCTTAGCTTTACTTTGAAAATGTATGTTTCTTTAAAGCAGACCAGCCAGCTTACCCTCAGGGGTAGCTTAATCAGAAAACAACCCCTCATCCTTACAAGAGTTTTATTTCATTTTTGGAGAAGGTTTTTAGGGCTCTTTGTGCTGAATTGTTTTTTTTTTGAGGTTTGGTTGTGTTTTTTTTTTTCTTTCAGCTTCCTAGTTATAGAGCTACATCAGTGCATAACATACTTGTTTTTCTCCAGCCTTCTAAACAGCCTAACCGCTTTTCTAAACTCCTTTTTAATTTGGAAGACCTGCCTTACTGGACTGTAAGGGAAATGGAATGTTTAATATGCATGTTTTGCTTTAGAATTTAAGAACGGAAGTGCTATCATTCCTCTGAGGACTGACAAGGAATTACAGAGCCTGTAAACCATGAGCCAGTGGCCATCTTGGCAAGTGCAAAGTAGGTGCTGTTTAATCTGCATTTATTATACCATACAATTAAGCTATTTAATTCAATCTGTAGCATGCAAGAGCCCACAGCACAGATGAGGGTCATTCAAGCTGGCCCACCACTGACAGCCTTAAGAGGCTACTTTGATCATCCACGGTACCCTCACTGAGGTTAAGATTCAAGCACGCTACGTGAATGGCTGGAAGACAGCATGCAATTACTAGTTATAGTACTACAGCTCTCAGTGGGAACAGAATCTCTAGGACTTACACTCCAAAGCCTTCAGCAGACATGAAATAAACTTTAGGAAAGCAACTAAAATTAGCTCCTGTGCCACAGTGCAAATCTGGAATGACACCTTGCTTAACTCCTGCAAAACTTCAGCTCTTCAGAGCCCAATAAGATAACAGACAATAAGCCTGTTAATCCAACAACTATCAAACTAACATCACCAGCTCTAAGAGTAGGTATCATTCCTTGCAAAGGGTTTTTTAACATCAAACTTCAATCCAACCAGCTTTATCCCCTGTCCAAATTGCATTGTTTCTTAAAAGCAACTACTTTGGCATACTAAAAACTTACTGAGGAGCAATAAATTCTACCGTCATGAACATATGGTTGATGAGTTAACAGAAGTAGCCTGGTCCTGCTGTGCCACTAAAATGGGAAGATGCAACTTGACAACTGTTCCTGAACTACCGAACCATAGCAAGTGCAGTAAGGCAGGAGAATCCAAAACCTGCACCTAACAGCCAAAACAGGAGGGGAGCTGAGGCTTCAGGAATTTCTGTAGAAATGGTTCTCCTAACTATCTCAAAGGCAAAACCTAATGAGCATTCACAGTGCATGGGGGGAGGAATAATTTACCTATGCTAGTACAGCATGAATGCAAGCACCACCACTGCCCAGCCTAGCCCCTTCACAATCCAAAGGCCAATACTATAAACCACTGAGGTTTTACCTAAATGTTTTCAATCAGAACATAGAGTAAGACAAAAGCTATTAGTTGTATTCCTTGGAGGTATGTCCTAGATAGGATAAAGCATCTTTTTACTCCTTTTCCTTTCTAGAAAAGCCTACTAGTCTGAAGATTTTTCTCTGCCCCTCCAAAATAGGCTTTACTCTTGCCTGAATTGTCAATAGAGATAGATAAACAGGATCTAGAAACAGTCATTCCACACTGTTTCTCTTTCCACAATTGTCCATAGTGGCTAAAACAAATGTAGAGATGAAACGTCCCTATTCTCTGTCTCCAACAAAGGCTTCAAAACTGCACCGAAGTTCACAGAAACAAACCGATCCCTTTGTGCCTTCAGTATCACAACTTAACCAAGCAACCCTCAGGTAGGCCCAGATATCCAAACTTGGATAAAACCCATTCACAGTATTTATAAAGAATTATTAAGATAGCAAAGGCCTAGGGAGGAACCTGGTAACACAAGCCAACTACGGAATTTTTAAGTCAGAAATAACGAGCTTTTGGTTAGGAGAGAGGAAGATACTGAACAAGCATTAGCAGTGAAACAACACTGCATAAAGCAGTGGCTTCCTGCCTACACAGCAACCTCTTTTTGAGAGTATTATTCCTAACGGGGTATCAGCAGAGCCCCCGGTGACACCCCCCCCCCCCCCCCTTCCCCCGCTCAGCCGCCAAGCTTCTTACACTTGGTGAAGATTTCTCTGTCCCTGCAAACACAGCACTTAACAATGGGAAACTGCTCCCGGCGCCAGCGAAACGCTAACGCCTGAGCGAGGGTCAGAAAGGAGAGCTGGCCCTGAAGGCAGAAGGGCACTGGAGCAGCAGAAATGCGGCTGCGGGTGGGAAAGGGAACGGACCGGACCACCAGAGTGGGAAGGGCCGAGCCGCCGCATCCCCCCTCCGCTCCCACGGCAAGGGCCACCGCGGTGCCCGCTGTACCCTACCCCATCGCCTCGCCGCGGCCGCTCCCCACCGGGCTGCTCCTCCCCCCCCCCATTAGCGGCGGTCCCGGATGCCGTCAAGGAGCTCAGGAGGGTCGGGGCTCTCCTCCCACCCCATCCCATCAGGTCTGGCTCCCGCCGACCCGGCCCGGTCCCGCCTCCCCAGGTCTCCCGGAGTGCCGGGACCGGGTCTCCTCCCCTCTCCTTCCCACCGGGAAACGGCGAGGGGCCACGCCGAGCCCCCCCGCCCCGGGCGCAGGCCGCCTTACGCTGTATAGCGGGGGGCGGCGGGTATCGGGCCCGCAGCTCCGGGCCGCCCCCCTGCACGCCGCTGCTCACGTAGTTGCTGGGGAAGATGCCGACGCGCTGGTCGATCTTGCCCGTCCACCAGCCCTCGTCACCGGACACGTGCGAGTCTCTGGACAGCACCTGCACCACGTCCCCCGGCCGCAGGCTCAGTTCGTCCTCGCCGCACGCCTCGTACTCGAAGACGGCGGTCCAGAGCGGCCCGTCGCCCGGTGGCTCCCCGCCGCCCGCGCCCTCCTGGCTGAGCTCTGTGAGGGGCTCCATGGCGAGGCTGCTCCATAGGGGGAGGCGCCCGCGGCTGCCGGGCAGTGCGGGGGGCGACGGAGCCGGTACCGCCGCCTATTGTTCATGCGGCCCAGCGCCTGGGGGGGTGGTCAGCGCCCGGTGCGGGGCCGCCTCAGCCCGGCGCGGGAAGAGGCGAGGGCAGGCAGCGCGTGCCGCCGAGCCGCCGCCGGGCCTCCCCCCTCGCCGCCTCCGCCTGCCGCCGCGGCCGCGCATCCCGGAGCCACCTGACTCTCTGGCAGCTTCGGCGGCGGGAGGGAAGGGCAGGGCTCCGCCTCCTCGTCGCCATTGGCCTCCGCTACCGCCCGTCAACACCGCCCTCACCTGATTGAGTGCTCTCGGCCGCGCCCCCGTCCCGCCCAGCAGCTCGCCTCTCAGTCTCGCACTCACCGGTGTCGTCCCCCATTGGTCACCGCTCGGTCAGCTTGCGCTTCCCATTGGACTCGTGTCAGTGACCGCCCCAAGCTCCCCCTTCCGCGCCGCTTCTCATTGGCTGAGGAAAGGGGCATGACACGGGAGAGGGTCGAGGGTGGGCGGGATTCCGTGGGGGTGGGCAGCGGGAGGGGAGGGTATTGCCCCCGACCCGCCGCGCTCCGCGGCCCGGCCCGGGCTGGCCTTACCCGGCCTTACCCGGACACTGCGCTGCTTTGCCGCGGCCCTGCGCCCGCCCCTTCCGGGCCATCGCCGCGGCTCTGCTGCACCCCGAGAGACCGGCATAGCTGCGGTTCAGCCGGATGGAACGGGGGCTGGGGTCGGGAAAGTCTTTGTTTTGTTACCGCGCGTTGTCCCGCATCGGAAGCGCAGGTATGGGTGAGGTTTGCAGGCGGTGAACACGGCGCTGGCCCGCCGGGCGCTGCCGGTGGGATGCACACCTGAGCGCGTTCTGCTTGCTCCTGACAGCACAAGTGACTTGCTGCCAGCGTGTTTACAGTTTATGGAGACCAGGTGGTGTGGGTGTGAATAGAACCTGCTCGTACTTAGTGATACCAAAAGGAGATTTTCTTACTATTTAACTCCAGTTTTTACAATCCTCATTCATTTTTCAATAACAAAACAGGAATTAAAAAGTCTCTATTTGTGCTTCATGGTAATGAAGCCAACTAATGCTGAATTACAGATTTACAGAACAGTTTGGGTTTGAAAGGGCCTTAAAGCTCATCCAGTTCAACTGCCTGCCATGGGCAGGGAGACCTTCCACTAGACCAGGTTGCTCCAGGCCCCATCCAGCCTGGCCTTGAATGCTGCCAGGAATGGGGCAGCCACAGCTGCTCTGGGCACCCTGTGCCAGGGCCTCACCACCATCACAGTGAAGAACTTCTTCCTCAGATCTCATCTAAATCTCCCCTCTGTCAAAATGAGAATCCCAGGTACCCTGGCCACACATGATGTCTTCCCACTTACATAAAGTATTTGGCTTAGTTTTTCTTTAGCACATTAAAAATGGAGTTACCCAGTTATCTGCAAAAGGAGTTTTTTAAAAAAATTCTCCACTCCCTGGTGTTTGTTTTATGTTAAGTACAGAGTAACTGCTGCTAGTCCTTAAGATCTGTGCAGTGAGGCTCTGTATCTATCCTTGTATTAGCACTGTGCTAATGCACTTTGGAAGCACCAGGATTTAGGCTTCAAAAAGAGAGATGAAGATTTAAAGACTAGTGTGCTCTGAGTTTAAGAAGTCATTCAAAATCCTTTTTGTTGTTTGTGAAACATTTTAATTTGCTTGTCTGGGTTTTATGGGGGGAAACACCTCCACTCAGCTGAAACTTAAATACTAAGTATTGCAGAGAATTCTGCAGGGAACTGAAATTGTTAGTAAGTCTTTTTTTTTTTTTTTTCCCCCCAGACTTCACAGCCTTTATTTCTGATAGAAACCCAAAAATACCTTTTCTGGAAAGAGCTGCTATATTAATATTCTTATTTTCCAAATAAAGAGCAAAATACATGTAGTTGAGGTTGGAACTGGCATTTCAATGTGACGCATGCAAGACCTAGGCATGCTGCAGCACTGGTTTTTAATTGAACCTAAGAAATGAGCTTTAGATTTTCTCCTGTATCTCCGTATCCCCTCTCTAGTAAGGGCAGAACTGAGGATGCATCCTCTTCACTACTCTTTTGTTACTTAAGGATGTGTTTTCACAATTAGTGGAAGCTTATCCAATATTACTCTGCTGCTGAAAGGGACTTTCCTGCCCCTTGTCACATGCTTGACCTGCTTTCCAGATTGCAGCAGACATGACTGCATGGCTGTAGAGTCACTCCAGCTCATTTATCTAACTGGAAACTAAGCCGCCAAGTTAAAGCAGCGAGTTCTCTATCAGCTCTTAGTTTGATCTGATTTGCGTTAGGACTGTAGGCACAGTTGTTGAAGCCAGCACCACATAAGGAAGCAGGACAGGACACGGAAAGGGACAGCAGACCTGGCTCTTCCAGCAACAGTCACTTACTTTTCTGTACAATTTTATTTAGGGGAAAAAAAAATATTTTCTTATTTCACACAATGGGGAATTACTACTCTATATGCAAATACTGTGCCTTTAAAGTTGTAGTATAAAAATTTGAGTGAGACATAACAAAATAGAGGCCTCGTGCCTTTCATCTGTTTGACACTTATTTTGATCATGCTGTAGAGCACTGACAGGTTTAAAGCAAAGAGTTGTGTTGCCGATGGTGAAAACTATGATAGGAGAAAAATTACTCCTGCAGAGGCTCGGGCTGGCTGTTGTAGTGACCTGCCGAGACAGAACCCTGCCATCTGGTGGAACGCGTTGATACTGAAGTACTCAGCCAGCTTTGCTTCTCAAACACGTCTTGCTTGGGTTTTTTTCCTTCCCTTTTTTTTTTTAACATATGATGCGTTTGTTTCCACAGAGGTGGTGTGACTGGCTCAGAATGCCCAGAGCAGCCAGTGCCTGCACCTGGGAAATCCTCTGAAAAGCCAGGATAGGATTTTCCCATTCTCACAAACTTATTTTGGCATCTTTTACCAGCAATCTCGGAGCCTGGTTTCTGAATGAAAAGATTTGACCAGATTGGGAAGGCTGTTCTTAGGATCAAGGTAAATAGAAGAGTCAGTAAATGTTAAGTTAGTATTTCAGTAACTGGGAAAGGGCAGAAGAACAGAACACTAAAGACTGTCTGCACATGGTCTGTGAAAGACGACATTTCAGTGTTTGCAAGATACATAAAGATATTTGAAGTGGTGCACACCTTTCTGGTGATCATACAGCCTAAATGCTACACTGAATGTGTCTTCCTTGTGTATTTTCTAATAAGTCTGCATATTTTCCCATCATTATTCAGCAGATGTGAATAATGGGAATTAGATTATAAATATAACAGATCCAGTTCTCAAAGTCTGTGTCTGAATGCACACTTATTGCTTCCTAAAGTTTGGATATAGATTTTGTTATAATATGTTTAAAAAGGAGAGTCCATTCTGCAAAATGCAGGTGATAATCTGAATGAAGTTCAGACTTCCTATAAACTGGGACCCTTAGAACAAGGATTTTAATTCAGGCTCATTTATGCATCTGCATTAAAAAAAAAAAAACAAACAAAAAACCACAACAAAAAAAAAAAAAACAAAAACGAACACCAAAACCCAAAACCTAACAACAAATTATTGGAGGGTAAACAAAAAGGCCAGTCTATCCCCAGGCCTTGTTTTAACAAGCAATGGAAAATATGCTGCTTATTCAGTTCCATTGTTCATATAAATTTAGGGCAATCATCTCAGTTTTGCTCTGTCTCTTCTAGATGTTTATGCATCCTTCTGAACCAGTGCTCTCTTTTTCAATGAATGCCTTTCCTCTCTCTTACTGGACTTAGCAGCTCTGTAACAACATGTTAGCACTGTGCCCATCCATAGTTATAAATCTACACTGGATACTTAAATGTTGGCACTCCAGGCTCCTGGTCTCTGTGCTCTTTAGAGGGGGAAGAGGAATATTCAGAAAGAAGAGAAAGTACCAGAAGTACCAACACAGTCCAACTACACTGCAGTACTGGAAAACCACTGTACTTCCGATTACAGCTGCAGTGAAAGTACATTTCTATCAGCACAGTAAGAAAGAATAAAAGATAAAGGAGATGCTTCTTGGCACACCTGCTTAATGCAGCTCCTTTCACATCCCATGGTAATTTATATTCTATCTTAAATTAACCCAGCACTAATGCTCTCATGTGGCTTTCATACATTTCAGATATATCTCAGCTGTATTCCATGATTATATTCACTGATATAACCATATACACCACTCTGGAGAGTTGTCTCATGCCAGTAGATAGATTTGTTTGATCATTTACTGGTAATCTCTACTCAAACAATGTAAACTTTATGACAAATGGGTTCTTCTGTCATTATAAATTGCCTCTCTTCATGGCTGTAAAGCTGGACTGTTTGGTTTTTCCCACTTAAGAACAGTACTATTTTACCAATATCACTTCATTGAAGGTTTGTTCTTCATGCAGGGGAGACAGGTAAGCCACTGGCAACAGAAACTTTTTGAACTGTGCTTTGCTAGCTAGGAGTCAGGCTGCGAATCTGGGTCTTTAGCATCTGAGTCAGTAAAAGACAGAGCTCTACTCTGCTTTATAAAATATATATGCTAATCTCCCAGATGGCTATGTCTTCTTTCTCCATAGAGCAGATGACCTGGAAAATACAAGAAGACTGAAAACACTGGAGAGTGGAAATTTGGGCCAAAATCTGGGAGCTTCCAGTAAATTTTACAGGCAGACTTGGCTTTTAAATTTAGTTTGAATTTGGTATGATAATAAATAGCAATGATTACATGACCATTATTACAGGTCACAGTATAACTTAACATGTAACATGAAGCATTCATACACATATAAGCATCCCTGTAAGAAAAATGAAACAAAGAAAGACTTTCAAATGAGACTTCTGCCTACACTTAAAAATATACAGTCAACAGAAATAATGTTTATGTTTGGCTTAGTAATGACTTAACATTTGCATACTGTGTATTATCTCAATCCACAGTTTTGCAAGCATGTGGAACAAAAATCTGACTTATTTAAATAGAGGAACTGAGATTAGTGCAATGCAAATACTCCTACTGAGGTTCAGCAAAGATGCTACAGCAAACCTTTCGCGTTTCTGGAATCTTTACAGGTGCCAGTAGCCTTGATATTCCTTTTCATGTT